TATATCCATCCATCAAGTTAGAGGTTGACTGCATTCAATTTCAATTTCATTCCAATTCATTTTTCACCGGTAGCTTCAACCGCTCTTATCTATGGAACTTTAGGGTAATCGTTTCGCTTGAACCTCAACATCCACTGCCAGTCCTGTCGAATGGTCCTGGGAACTTTTTTTACGGGTTGTGCCATCGCAGGCCCTGCTCTTTCATTGTCAAGACTGACTGCTCTTACGTCTTCATTTCTCTCTGCTGAGGAAAGAACGTGGGAAAGAAATATCATTCAAAAATCGGAATACAAGCAATGTAATGGAAAGTACAGTATGACTGTATGAGAAGCTGTGAAGAGGGCAGAAATAGCTGAAAAGAACGATGACATATTGTCTGGTTTTCTGTTTGCTTTGTGCGAAGTATCACCTTTTCTGAGAATTCGGAAACGTCTGAGGGGACTTTCTTTATCATACGTCAAATCGTACTCTCAACGAAGTTAATAGGAGAATACTTACTTATTTCTAATTTTCTCCAATCCCATGTTACCCTCACCGACGAAGCGTGCATAAGAAGTATGCTCTTTGACCGAGTGATGTGCTTCCTCTGTCTCTGGAAAAAGGAGGGAAGTCGAAAGGATATGAAAAGGCTATGAGATGTGTTCTCTAATTATGGAAAGCGGTGCCACCATGATGCTGGGATCGAACAGGAAGTAATATTTTTTGAAACAACGACGTGTAAAAAAACTCTGTGTCGAGGTTGCGTGGATATTCATTAATAATTGAAAATGTTTTTTTTAAACTCATTATATATATATATATATATATATATATATATGTTGCCTTTATTTGTAGCTTGTTTGAGGTCGCGTTTTCAGCAAAAAGAACGATGCTTCCAGGTCAAGTTAGAAGCCGCATTTGGTCGTACCGCTGTTGGACCAAATTCATTAGTGGTCAATGAACGATCTCGTCGGATAGCTTACTTGGCCGGGTATCTTTTCTTCAACCTTTTTTTCTTTTTCTCACTTCTTTTCTGAATGCGTATCACCCGCTCTATACTTCTATTCTTCGGGAGCGCTTTGTTGATAGTGTTTATGTGTAGAATATTCTCTAACCTGGTCATCGCTTATATTTTTTTATTTTTTTGTCGAAGTGATCCAAGATTACTCTAGATCGACATAAAAATGGGTGACGTTCTACATAGCTTACTATATAGGTCATTGAGCCTATATGCCCGGAGTGGTTTGGTCTCTCAGACCGTGCACTTAAGTGGCTGTGATTACCACCATAGGTGGTGGCGTCGGCGGTCATTTAGTATTTGCTTTATGATAGCGTTAAGACTGACAACTCGCTTCTCACCGGGGTCCGTCGACAAATAATAGCCTGCTTTATCTTTTACGTTCGTCGTCAGCATCGACCGGTCGACGGTCACTCAGTGAAAGCAAATAGCGCTCCAGTTTTCGCACTCACCGAGGGACTTTCGAGATTGATGGCATTGGAGTAGTTGAATGATGATTTATTGAACATGCGGGATTGCCCACTCCGAGTCGCATCTTCCAATGCCATGCACTAGCGTGAATGATAAGAAAATTGTAGTGTACTTCTAGCTCCCGCTCAGACGATATGCCTATTGTATATCATGTATTCTCCCAGTTAAATACTTGAAGCATCAATTTTAAAGATTTCAGGGGAAGTGTGTGGGATCGCTGTGTCTAAGCGGGGTTTTTGAAAAGACACAATTTCAAGTCAGCGTGGGGTTGGTAAAGCACTTCTTTTTTACCCATGCCACCACTGTTGTGCACTTCCTACAGAGACCTATTTATTGGCAGACCTATTGTCGTCATGGATGTAATGACTTGAATTCCCTTCCAAACGGCTCAGCGAACTTGACCAACGAGCCCGTACTTGTTGCAGTCGCTTGACATCGTGTTAAACCCCAAACACAGGGTTCTTGCTCACCGCCCCAAAGGCCCACTTCTGATGCGGTCGGTGGTTATGAACTTAGTCGTGCCAAAACGTTTCCGTGCCACGATAGCATCTGGTGATAGGGTACATTCTGTGAATACTTATGTGTAAACGCTGCTTGATTTGAATGGTGGGTAGGCGATTGAAAGATACTGGACCACCTCTCAGAACTTTCTTTCGACCACTGGCAATTGCGTTTGGAGTGATGGAGACGAAATGCTTCCCTAATCGGTCGGTCTCACTTAACCGTTTCCAGCGCAGTGATGACATAAGGAAGCTGTTTTATGTAGACCCATTAAAAGATAAGTTGAAGTGATAATTGATAGTGAAACTGGACTTGGTGGGTGTAACAAGGATCGTGGCTCAGGCCATGATCCTTCACTAGATTGCCCTCAGTCACAATCTCAACTGCCGGGAAAGAAACCCGAAGACACTCTGACTGAGTAGACCACCAGATGTATGGGAAGTCCCCATTTATAACAAGCATTCAATCCAGGAATCGATGTCAGCTTAATCATTGTAGGAGCAGATACCGTCTTTGCGTGGGCTATTCGTTAGAGGTAGAGGAGTTTTTAGAGATCGCAGTTTAACAAGGGAGCATGTGCAGCGTATTAATAACATTGTTAAGTCTACTTTTCGGCATGCTTTCTCTCTCCAAATCGCTAAATTACCTGCACCTGCTGAACAAACGAGTCCTGTTTCTCCAGATGCGAGTCTCATCTTTTAATGCATTCATGAGAAATGAGGGCTCATGCGCACAGAAATGCGAGTTGGATGAGAAAGATCCTTCTCTCGACAGTGCGCTCAACTTTAGTAGATGAACCTTGTTGTGTACAGGCGCTTGGACTGTCGAGAAAACCACTTCTGCTGAGCGGCGGGTATTCGACCTTCACTCCAACTCGCAATGACACTCTGGGGCATGTTCCTCCCGAACAGCGGAAGGGGTAATGTTGAGTCAGTGCTATAATCCTTGAAAACAGTCTATTACAGTTAACTAGACTCTAAGAAATATTTCCGGACCACATGTACATGATACGATCCCCTTTCATTACCGTACTCACACGTGCTTGAAATACTTTTGCAGTATTAGCGGAGAATGTAGAGTCACAACAGAACTATCAGCCTGCGCCTTAGCAGCCATTCTTTTCCTTCCTTATGTTAGATTTCGATGGTTATAGGACTCTGCGCCTTAACGAAAAGGTTTATTAAATGATATTTTGCATTGATACTCAAGTGCAGCAGTAACAAGAGCTTCTGTTCCCTTCTAGTTTTTTTT